GGGACGGGACGGCCTTCCTCGCCCCGGCCCAGTTCTCGCTCCTTTTCTGTCGGCCTGTCGAGCTGTTGAAGTACTCTAATTATTGAGGGGCTTTATGATTTTTATTTATTTATTTATTTATTAATGTTGGATGAAAGTGATTTTCGAGGAAACAGGTTTTGCTTTTCTCTGTCTCTCTCTCACTCTCTCTCGATTTTCGTATGTATGTGTGTGTGTGGGGGGGGGGGTAATAATGCCAAAAATTATTATTATATTCTCAATCTGCTTGTTCAACTACAAACTACCCTAACATTTTTTTAAACGGGATACGTGTTCATTCAAGAAATGCTTAGTTATAGTATTGCTTTAAAGATCATTATCATGATTTTAGTCAAATGTATTTCTCCATTATCAATATTCTTTAATACAATATAATAATATCATACCTGCTGATTATGTTTCAAATTATGTTTATTAAAAACCGCTTGTTCAAAAGTTGTCCTTGTGAAAAAATACAGATCATGCAACAAAATTAACTCCTGCATGCAGTTCGAAATCAAACAAGCAGGTTTTCCTATCGTAGAAGCCGAAATAAAGTTCCTGGAGGGTGGACGGTGGTTCAGAGAGGCACAGAGCAAGGGGAGCTGAGGCAGAGGGAGGAGGCTGCATAGGCAAGTCCAGTCCTCAGCTGTGAAGGCCAGCTTTCAAGTCCACCATGGAGAGTGATACTCCCAACCAGGCTGTGTTTGGCAAGGTAAGTGGCCTTTCACACCTTTTCCACACCACGTGTTGGTTCAGGAAGCTGTTCTTTTGAGCAACAAGCTTACAAAAATGTATATGAGCAAAAGGAATAACTTCAGCAATGTTTTTTGGGAAGTAACAGTGTCTCCCAGTTTAGGCCATATTTGGAAAAGTTTTGAACTTTTTCCCTACTCTTTTTGGTTGTTTTGGGTCCCATCTTCTAGCTCTTTTTTTATTACAAACCTTAAAGCATACTTTGAGGCTCATATTAAAGAAATATCAGTGTTGGTTGAATGCTACAAAACACCTGTAAAGAAAGGTATAAAAGCAAATTGCATTTCCTGCATTGCTCTATTTCTTTGCAGAGCATGCTTTAATTATTACAGGGATGTTTGGCATAATTCTTTACAATATTTTTGAGGGGGCTGCTACAAGGGATTAAGGGACGAGTAATATCTCATATTTAGTAGAAGTTCGTTGCTGTCCATGGTTTGTCTACTTTTGTTTTTTTCCAATTTGGTTCTGTTGAATCTTGTGTATTAGAACCAAATACAGCCAGAAGCCCCTGTTTATTTATCATTTTTTCAATTTAGATGTAATTATGTGGTTAGGAATTGTGTTAAGAAAAGCAACCAGTTTGACCTCGTCATTTATGTGAGAAAAGAATATAAATGTTCAGCACAGCTTGAATTAAAAAAAATAGCTAGACATTTTCCTATTACGGTAAATAGGAAAAACACATGATAGGGAGAAATGTAAAGAAAAATGTAGGGAAGGGATGATAAATGATGAAAGTTACAAGAGATATGACCCTATCCAGGTTACCGAATATTTCTTCTTCTTTCTTCTTTTATAGGGTTTTAGACTTTGTGCAGTCTATATCCCCTGGATCCTTTTTCTTTTCTATGCTTTTTTTTATATGATCTTTTTTAATCTGTTTTTTCTTATGAAAATTTTGGAATGTCTGAAGGTGTAGTACTTTTCTGTTGGTGAGAGATCTACACCTGTTAATAATAAGTCTAAATTAGGGTTGTTTATTTTGAATTTTCTTAGAGCTTCGTTTAGGTTCGTTCTGCTGAAATGGAATTGAGGACATTGGAGTATTATGTGTTCTATATTTCTTCTTCATTATGACACCATCTGCAGAGTGGGTCATTTATTATTTTCATTCTATGTAGATGCTGGTTTAATCTTGTGTGTGTGGTTTTTATTCTTGTTATGCATACATCTAGTTTTCGGTTTTCAGATCTTGTCCATGGTTGAGGTTCTGTGTTTTTCATAAGATAATTCTTTGCATTAAGGATGGTATTTAGTTGTCTTTTCCAGTTGTTTTGATTTTTTTTATTCTAATCTGTTTAATCTGTATTTTTATGTCTTCAGGTATGGTTATGAGATTTCTTATATTGTGTGCTTTTTCTGCTGCCTGATCAACAATTTCATTACCTTTTATGTTTTTGTGTGAAGGCATCCATTGCAAGACTATTATTTGTCTTTGTTTTACTAGTGTGTATATGATTTTTTGTATTTCAAATATAATATGTTTAGAAAATTTTTGGTCTCGGGTTGGATATTCGATGTAAAGCAGATTTGGAGTCAGATAATATTACCGATTTTGATAATTTGTTGTTTTGTATGTACTTTAAACCTTGTTATATTGCAGTATCATCTGGTGATTTCCATATGATTATATTTTTATCTTGAATGTATATTGCTTCTGAAGTGGAATTAATATTGTTTATTTTTGAGTCGTATGAAAATATTTTTTTATGATTTAGGTATTTTGTGTTTTCTATCATTGCATATTGTGATTTTATTATTTGTTCTTGGACATTTTTTGCTTGATAATTCAATTTTTTTTTTTTTTTTTTTTCAAAAATATTGAACCATGGTGGGATAGGAGTTATATTTGGCAATGCTTTTGTTTTTATATTTATTTGTAATTCTTTACAAGTTTCCAAGACTCTATATATTAAGCTTCTTTTGTCTTTTATGGGGGTTGTATTCTTTTATATATGTTATCAGTTTTTTATTTGCATATATTTTGTTTTTTTCTAGCATTTTTAACATTTGGGTAAATTCTTGTTCTTTTAATTTATTTTTGATGGGCATCTTATTAGTTAGGGTGTATAATGTCACAACTGGGGTGCATGGTAAGCAACCTGTGGCTATTCTTAAAGAATTATTTTGAATAATTTCTAGTTATTTTCATTTCTGTTATTTGTTGTACCATAGATTGATATGCCATATTCTATTTTTGGTTTAATTTAGATGTCATAGAATTTTATCATTGTTTCTCTATTTGCTCCCCATGTGGTAGTTGATAGTATTTTCTTTATACTTATTCTGTTTGGGTATTTACAAGTCACTGATGTGATTTTTCCTCATTAGCATCAAATTCAAGGCCTAGTATTTTGTGTTCGGTTGTAAACTTAAGTTCTTCATTGTTTATCTTTATTATTGCTATCTGTCTTATTTGTTTTTTTGTGAAATACATAATTTTACTTTTTGTTAGATTTATTGTTAATTCCCTATCGTTAGCCTATTCAATGATTTGAATTAATCCTATTTCTATGTGGCAGTCCTCTCTTTATTTTTCCTTCTTCAGACTTTTTGTTTCATATTGTTATTTGATAAGTTCTGTTATTTAAAAAGTTATATATCCATTTAAGTGGGGTGCCTGTTATTCCGAGTTTGCTGCTTTTTTTTATGATGGCTTCATGGTTATCTGTGTTGAATGCTTTCTCTAAATCTCTAAAAAAAAATTCTTTGTAGGCTTTGTTGATATGTAAATCTATTATGTGCAGAGTATTTATTGTTGAATAATATGGCCTGAATCCTGTCAAGTCTTGACTTAATTATTATTGCTTTCTAACCACCATATCGGTCTATTATTTATTACGCTTTCCAAATTTTTTTGTAAGCTTGAAATCCTGCTTATAAATCTATAGGATTTTTTATCAGTTGTGTTTTTTTCATGATTTTGATATAGGGTTAACTAATGATTTTTAAAATTCTGGGAGATATTCCCCTTATTAAACTGACGTAAAAAAAAAATCAAGTATATTATTTGGGGAATTTTTAAATAATTCATATGGGATTTTGTCTGGACCATATCCTTTATTATTTTTTGCATTCTTTATTGTTAAGGTTAATTCTTTTAAATGGAGTTCTTCATTTAAGGCGATTGTCTCCTTTTTTTTGCCGTTTTTCGTCCTTAGTGCTGAAATCGAGTTTTATGCATTTTCAAGGAGTTCCTCGTCCCCCTGGTTCTCCCCTGAAAATTTCATGGCCCAACCATTATTTTTTAGGTGGTAGCAGCCATTTTCGATGTTGACTGAAATATTATTTTTTTCACGTTAATTTAGAAAATTGGCAGTTGTGATGCAATAATTAGAGATAATGAAAAAATAAATTTTTGAGTAGGAAAAAAAATCCCTAGATCCAAACCATGGTCTGCATCAATGCCAAAGTGCAATAAGCATCTCAGTTAGGTTAAAACACACCTTTGGTTAAGATCTCATTAAAATATGTTCATAATTTTTAGAAATATCAGAAAAAACAAGCAAACATAAAACAGCAAACAATCAACAAACAAACAAAGAAACAAACAGAAGTAACAATATAGATAAACAAAAGGTCATGGGGTACACGAAAATGATCTATATGTGCATGTATACCTAATATACATACTTTTACCTCGCCCTGAAATTGTATTTCGTCTTTTCACGGGAGTCTGAGTGTGAAAATTGGCCATGTGGCCCCGTAGAGTTAAACACCAACATTCAGATGCAAAGACACGTCTGTCATCATCCGGCAATGCCCGGCCGTGCTGAGAAAAGGATGTGTATGATACCTGTCCGACTAGAGAAAGGTTATTTTATCGACCAATCTTATACGTTGTAAAACCCCATTAGAGCAACAATAATAGGTAAATAATAGATAATTATGTCATATACAAGTATTCCGTACGTGATTTATCATGTAAAATGTATAAATAACGAAAAGGAAAAAGATAGCGATTATTAGGTACGCATAATACACATATTTCCAGTCCAATTTTAACGTATTATGGATCATTTTGTAGCTGAATAATAGATCTATTACATGATGCAATAAGGATTTGTAATTTTTTCATGTGCTTCTTTTGAAAGTGACATATATTTTCAGTATCCCTTTTTAGGGTGTCGAGATAGTGGGGTTCGGAAAATATTCACCAAAAAAAAAAAGTAAGGTTGACTTCTAAAAAATGGCTTCACATATAGTAAAAGGATAGTTCTATTCAGATATGAAATCAAATTGGCTGTATGATTTTTTTTTTTTTTTTTTTTTTTTTTTTTGATAAATTTTTAAAAATGGTCAATGTAGGCCTATAGACCCTCCAGATCACTGCCACCACTCTACACTATACGTAAGGTTTTGAGAAACTGTTACGTGATGGCAATGTCTGAAAGTCTCCGGAATGCAGGTACATGATAGAAAATTATGGTATAGGAAGATTATGCTCCTCCCTTTCATTTTTCATACCAAAAAAATTATGAAAAGAGAAAAAAAAACTTCTATGACTGTTATCTTGGAAGTAAATTTATTTACGCAGAAATGCCATTCAAATAAAAAAGTATACTACAGAGATCAGGCTGGGGTCTAAATAAAAGGGTGTGAGTTTCATAAAAATCGGCAAGAAAAATCGAAAAATCGAAAAAAAAAAGAGACAACCCCCTTAAACTTTCTGTACTTGGTTGATCGGTCATGTTTTTAAATTTTGTTTTTGTTAACAGGCTTTTTGTTTTTATGTTTATTATACTTTGAAATTCTTCTTTTAGTATTAGTTTGAGCCGGTAGGTCATTATGAACTATTGGATAATTGTTAATTTTATTACCTTCTAGTTCTTTAATAAAATTGCAGATTTTTCTTGTTGGTGTATTGAAATCTAGGGATTGTGACAGAAATCTGACCAACTATTTCTTTTTTCAGTCTCTATTGTATTTTTTATATTCAAATTTGTTTCTTTCATT